TTTTTTGGTGGCCTTGGCAGGACCATTTCCCAACAGTTGCCTATGTTCACGGACCACGTCATCAACTGTCCCAAACAATTTTTGTTGCCGCAGGATGCGGATGCTTTGCGGCTAAGGGGCGTAAGTTGTTGCGAAACATCATCGTACATTGCGTCTTGTCCAGAACTCCAGCGCCATCAAAGTCAAAACGTTGACAGAGCACATCCACTTGTCGGAACAGCACCTGTGTCAAAGATGTGGCTGTCACTCAAAACACTTGATCGTCGAGGTGAATACTCTCCAAAAGCGAAGACTAGTCCATCTCGTACCTAAATGTCCTCCATCACATCCCTCTAAGTCTGCTCCTCTCCGTTCCTCTCAAATAGCCCTGGTGAACTCGATTTGGACATGGAGCTCCAGAGACCCACAAAGATCTCCTTGGAAGCACCACCCCTTCCGCATCACATCGCGCATCACATCACGCAGACGCCTGGGGAACCTGCAGGTAATCCGCCAAGGCTGGTGCCATGCGCTTGGCCTCTTCCGGTGTGATGGCCTTGCGGCCGTCCTCCGTGTGAGCCTCCAACAGGGGTTTGATGTCAAAAACGCGTCGAAGAGGGCATACGCAGCAAGAGGGCATGGTTGAGATGGGGAACTGACCTGAACTTTCCTCCAGGATGCAACTCGTCCCTTTTTGGGGGGGTGAAGACTATGGAGTTCTTCATTACTTGAGAACTTGAGAACTCTTGAGACGTTGCAGCTGAAGTGTCGAGGTTGACCAGACTGTCAGGGCTCTCTATCTTTGACAAGTGAACCTTTTTTCGGTGGGTCCATCAGCCCTGACACAACTTGGAGATCAGACGGCTATGAAACCTCACACATTCCCAGGGTTGCATTGGCCCATCGACCGCTTGCTGCATGTAGAAAGCTATATGTATATATATGATATGAACTTCTTTCGTGCTGGGCCAAATCGAACGGCACGAAAAGTTGCGAGCTCCTCTGGTGCACATTCCATGTTTCTTTAATGTCCGCAAACCTAAGATTCTTCTCACAGGAAGCTCTTTGAGACGAGATCTCAACCCAAGTAGGACAACTGGACCAACTCCCAATGTTTCGCTCTCCAGGTGACACCAGCATACTTCCGGAAGAACTTGTGAATGGCGTGATTCGTAAAGAGATAATTCAGAGGCGCCAGACGCTTGTCCAGGACATGCTTGGCAGCCACGCGTTCCTGAGCGGAGAGCTTCTTTGGCTTCTCGTCGTCGCTGCTGTGGCTGGAGCAACTCGAGCTGCCCGATTCAGCATCTTCTTTGACACAACAGAGCGACATGGCGCACCAAGAGGATCGAAGCAATCAACTTTGGAGCTTCGAAAACGCAGCTGCGTAGACTCATTGGATGCACGAGTAAGAAGTTTTGAAGCTGATGAACAGTGAACCCATGTTCACCCTATAGCGCGAGGTGCCATGGAATTCTCCGCTCTTTTTAGGGCGTAAACCACAAATCACAAATCCATGCACAAATCCATCACGCTGAATCCCCCAAAAACCAACAGGATCGTCATCCCCTCTTTCTGAGCTTCACGGCTTCGCATCCGAAGGCCGCGGACTGCTCGTCCCACGAACACCCCAAACCTCCCGCTCGTCCCGCTAGGTCAGCTTCCAACCTCCGGTGCCGCGAGGTCGGGGGTCCTTGTAATGATCGGCGTCCTTGACATCGATGTAGTTGGGGTAGTGATGAGGATCTGATCGCGTGGCTACAGTGCTGTAGCTGGTCTCCTCAGCATGGTCTCAGACCCGCGACCGCGACGGACGAGGAGATGTAATTGGACACAACAGAGGAGATGGAGGAAGAATCCAAAGCCATCAGCTTTGATACCCCTGTTGAACATGTATCAACCAAAGCTTTTTGGGATGTCTTGGGACATTCCGAAGCATATGAGTCATGAGAGCTTCATGGCTTGCGAAATGTGTACCAAGGTCATTCTCATCATGTTTGCTTGCAGAGACTTCTAGACAAATCTAGAGGGAATGAAGGGTGGAGTTGGTGTGTGGAGTGACTGGATCATCCATAAGATTTAGGAACTTGGCGGAAAATTGGAGACGTGAACTGGCTGTCTTGGCCAAAGGAATCTGTGAATCTTGGGCTCCCAAGACAAGAACTTACCAAATCCCATGGCTTGGGTTCCAGGTCTTTGGGAGGTCCAGGTCTCCGCTGACAGTCTGTGGAACATGTTCTATTTTTGTTTTTGCGGCCAGTTGTAGCAGATCTGGGTCCGGGGAATGGAAGATCTGGCAGATGTCATATTTTTGCACAATCAACTTGTTCGATGTTCACCTCCCCAAAGGAGTCTCAACGTTCCTTCCCGATTTCATTTCGAGTTGTTTCGCACCAGGCCAGTCGTGAGCTGAGCAAGCTAAGCTAAGCTAAACAGGTGTGAGCCGAGCTAAGCCTTCCTTGAAAAAGCCATCTTCCGCAACTTGCTCCCAAAAAATTCTGGCCACGCTGGCCGGCGCCAGGCAGTCCCAGCAGTGGCTGTGGGTCCCGGCAGTCTGATCATATTGTCGCTTCACCATCAATCCTGACCTTGGCATGAAAAAGACATCAGTCTAAATGACCCACCAGGTCTACCATGACCATCCGTTTAGGACACCCCGTCTTCCTTTGCCTGGCACGTCTCACCACTTCCAGTCTTCCATGTCGCAGAATGGTCGAACATGTTCGGCGTGAGAAGCAACCCTTGCTTGAACGGTTTAAACCCCTGCCCTTGTAGAAAGCTGAGGTGAATGGGTTTTGTATTAATTCATCTCCACCGGCGTGGTATGATTGAAATGTTGCCGAGCTAGAAAGCTATGTGATCATTGGAATCCTGCAGCACAAATAATTGGATAAAATCGCAACACCAACAGGACAATGTTTCAATGTCGAAATGTGTCATATTATTATATGATATTATATGAAGCAGAGATGCTAATGGGGCTGCGTTTTGACACGGTGGTTTGGGGTGTTGAGGAGAGAATCCCTTCTTGGTTGAGAGTTGTTCCACCCTTTGTTCCACCGTGATTCAGAGGAAATGCCTTTCGACCAAGTAGATACTAGTCCCATGTGATAAAAAGATCTTGAACATCGTTCTGGTTCCAACATGTCTACTCCTCTTGCATTAGGGACCAGGTATTTTCACAGAGCTTCTCAGGGTCTAGTGATTCTAGTGTTCAATTGAGCAACAAAACATGCCCAAGTGGCGTCCCTCTCTCCAGTTTCTCCTTGCGGTCCGTGAATCTATTTGAACATTGGTCATCGTCCCCCTGTTTTCTCCTCCTGATCCATCCTGCTTCCATGTTTCTTGAACCAACACCTCCCAAAATTTGGGTTTATGGGAAAATCTACAGGAAAGCGATTGTTTTGGGGCTTCGAACTTTCTCCAGTAGACCTTCCCTTAAACCGATCCACGACCACACTTTCACACCGGCCGCCTGTTCCAAGTCGAGTCACACCATGCTTTGCTCATAGACTACGAAGGGCCGCTGTTCCCGGGGCGCTGCCGGCACGCTGGGCACAGGGAAGCCAAACCTGAGTGATGGTGAGACATGGCAGTGGGTCGGAACAACAGGATCATGGTTTTTCCCACAGAAGATGAACAGAACAAACTACTAGACATGGTCAACCTACCAGAGGAAAGAGAGCTCCGGGTTTTGACCCACTGCCCAATTGCAAAAACCAACTGCAAGTGGTTTGTTGGGAGGGGATCACATTGGGTTGTAAACGTATGGTTGACTATCGTAATGACTATTGCTATCTATATATTGCTTATGACTCTTATGACTATTGGTGGTATACCTGACTAGCAAACTATAGGCACAGTTTCCTTGATGATATCTTGATCAATTAATTACTAATTAGTCACTGAATACCAAGAGGTCACTTGGATGTCCTAAGACGTCTCAGAGTTTGCTTCCTCACAAAGGCAGAACCCCTT